TTGCTCGGTCTGTTAAGGAAAACGGTCTTTTGTGAATGTATGAGTGTGTATGTGTGACCTGTTCAGTAATGCTTCAGTCGTAACATTGCTTTTTGATTATTAAAATTCAAAAGGGTAAGGGAAAATACGTAATGTGTATTTTCTAAAGCTTAATCTGTAAGATTAGCCCATTTACCATTAAATTCCAATATTCTACATATTTTAAATAATTTACGATTCCAAAACTCCACTTTTGGCATATCTTTCTTATGTAGTAATTAATAACCAAATCCACGTAATAAGAAGCGAATCTTTTAAGCTGCAAGAAAAATTAGAGCTTTTTAACAGGTTAAACCTCCTTTAGCAGTTTCAAATTTTGTTTATGTAGCTTTAAATCAATTCCTAACTATTTAAGAATATCTTCACAATATTATTCAGTTTTATTCAAAATATTTCGAAAGATTTGAAGGAACGCGCGATCCATTTTGTAGGAATAGGCTTAGTTGGAATACTTTGAGCCATTTTTTATCTTAAGACTTATGGTAGTTCTCATTTATTCTTATTCTCATTTGAAAGGTAATTCGTTTCTTTATGGCATTTCTTATTAAAGATAGTTCCTTATATAGTCAATTAATATATTGAAGCAAACAAAAAAATAGCAGCTAACCTATATTCAAAATACAATTTTATATACATTTATATGTACAATGCAATTTTAGAATTATCTTGATTTCCTTTCCTAGAGAAAACCCATTTTTTTGACTTTTGTTTAACAGTAGTCTTTCAGAAACCCTTTTAGGTGACTGTTAACTTAAAAGGGTCTCACCGAGTGGTTATTGAAAGACCGATTGCTTTGTTCGGTTGAGCCGAACGGTCGGACCGAAACCGACAAGCAAAACTAAAAAAGGGTTCCGCTCAGAGAGAGAGTTTGTGAGCAACATTTTTTTCGGTTTTGTCGAGATTAAACTGCCTCAGGAAAATCGGTTGACAGTTATTTGCAAGCTCTGGTTTTTATTCTGCTTTGCCTGTATGTTGTCTCACTCCACTTTGGCTAAAAGGAATGCAGCTTAGTGGCCATCCACTTTCGCTAGCAGACCTTCTTCGAGCTCATAATGAAAACACAAATCCAAATTCAGTCCTTGAAGCGCCACGTCCTTGAGCCATAAAGCCTACTCTGAATAAGGCGGGAAAAGAGTGCGAAAATAATTCGCAGCCAAAAGATTAAAGCCATAAATTTGGATTGGGGTATGGGAAAGGGTCACAGCCTCTTTGAAAGCAGAATAGAAAGTAGAAATGAGACCATTGAAAGCTATTTTAAGAACAGTTAAATTAAATCATAGCTGAACAGAGCCAATGAGAGGATAAATTAAGAAGAGGGATTCCAAAATTCTAAAACAAACACGGAAATTATATTAAATCGCTGCAAATTAAAGGAAGCTAGTTTTTAAGAAATTGCTTTTGCCCACTTTTAAACCGATATTATTCTGAAATCGCAAAAGTGCGGTTGCTATGCGATGTTGGTTGTCTTTCCATTTCATATCAACACCAAATAAATTAACCTTAAATTGCACGCAAACTTGCCTCTACAGCGGGAAACTTTCAATGCTTTCTTTGTGGGTTTTCTTCGAAATTATTGGGGGTAAAATCAATGCTATCAAGCCGACTCACAGACACTGCCACCCGCTCACTACTGACTTTTGGGCAGCTTAATATCATCACGCATACGCCAAGTATGCACACACGAACAGAGCCGCCTGCTCGGCAATCTTTTGAAAAGGTTTTCGGTTAAAATATTTTACATATTTTTAACGCACAAAGTATGTTGAATGTTGAGCCCGGAGGCTGGGGCTCCTCCAAGGATGCTTTATAGTGGGAGGCTGGGAAGGTGGTTTCTGGGTGTTAAGGGGGTGGTGAGCCAGGCGCCTTTGGGATAAATCGCGAGAAAATGGCGGCGGGGTTGTGCGCCTGATAGTTGATAATTTCATTATGGTTCCCTTAAGTTTATTGATTTTGAATTTCATGAAATATACATAAGACTTTAGACATTCGGTATATTGCAAAGATTTGATGAGTATTTGCATTTCGAGCACTGTTAATTATTCATAACATATAATTATACCACAGTTTTCTGCACAGCCTAATAGCTGGATACGTAAACCAATTATAAATGTGAGCCCATCAAAGCTGGAACCGAAATCTGTCTCTGAGCAGAGAAATTAGTTCCGTTCGGTTCTAAATATCCTACACTCATAAAAAAAAATCGAAGAATTTCCTTAAAATCTAGAAAATTCTTTCTTGAATTTTTGCCAAAGGCGACCTCACCGTTGTTTCAAGAAATGGTTTTTTTGAAAGGCACCATTAAAACCAGAAAAAATATTTCTTGTTTTAAGAAATTATATTTCTTAAAACAAGAAAGGGTTTTTTAGAAAGCCACCATAAAAACAAGAAAAAATATTTCTTAAAACAAGAAAGGCGATTCTTGTTTCAAAGGTGGTTTGTTTCTTGTTTCAAGAAATTAAATTTCTTAAAACAAGAAAGGGTTTTTTAGAAAGCCACTTTTTAAACAAGAAAAATTCTTTCTTGTTTAAATTTCCTTTCAAGAAATTTTATTTCTTGATTTAAGAAATAATATTTCTTGAAAGGAAGTTTAATATTAACACTGAAACCCTAAAAATAAAATGTAACTTGGTTTTTTCTTTTGCATATTATATTTATTTACATTTAAAACATTTAACACTTAACATTTAAACATTTTTAAATAACACATTTTTGACTCAAGAAAACATTGTTATTACCCAAGGTCTGTTGAACTTCATATGACCTAAGGTGATCCATTTTCTTCGCCTTTCCTCATCTAGAAAAAAAGAGTTATTGGGATATATCATTAATCATTGATAGATTTGTTTTTAGATAAACAACTTTTTTGAAATAATGTAATGCTAATAATAGCCAAAATACAAACAAGTTGGTCAGACGACCGAGAGAGAGGAGCAAGACAGGTAGAAAATGAAGGGTTGAAAATCGAATTTCAGAGAGAGAGAGAGGCACGGATGAGACACGTACATACATACATATATATTTACATACAGTCCTTTGCGCGAAGGGAGACCGAATGTAAGCAGGGCAGATCGTGTCAGTTTTAAGAAGGTGAAGAGAGAAACGTCGCGACGCGTAGGTCAAGCGAGCGAGAGAGAGGAGCAGAATATGAAAGGGTTGAAAATCGGGTTTCAGATCGGGTGAGCCGCAAGTATGCCGTAAGTATGTCAAACAAATACAACATATTTTTCTTACCTTAGAAGGTTTTAAAACAAAATTACAGCTTCGACAAACAAATTATTTGGCTGATGCAACTGCAGGTATTTTCACTCTGAAAAATAAATAAAATGCGAGTAATAGGATAAAGTTATTATAGAACTCTACACCCACAAATTTATATACAAATGTATGTATGTACGTAGCTCTTAGCTAAAAAACAATTCAACTGAATTGGTATACGCTTGGTAAAGAGATTTTGAATTTATCCTTTAATTACATACATACAATTGTACGCGCGCTATACAAAAAATTATATATTTACATACCTTTGAATATTCGGAAAAAGGCTTCACCTCTTATCCGCTTGAAAATCACGTCCATCACTCACAAATTTTTTTCACAACTGACGCTCGGGGGATCAGAGAAGTCGGTAGCCGGGTAGAAGTCGGGCCGAGTAGGCCCTTCGTCCCACTTCGTTTTTCTTGTCGTTAACATTCGGCAGCCGAAGGAAGTCAATGGCTACTTTCCTATATTCTAGGGTCATTTCATTCATATATTCAAAGGTGATTTTGTCCTAAAATACGTACAAAAATGTTTTGGCTGCGACGGCAAAACAGACATATGAGATTTTCATTTTTCTATTTTTAAGAAAAATTCTTTCTTGAATTTTTTCCATCAAGAAAGGTTTTCTGTATTCAAACGCAAATTTTCTAATAACAAGAAATTTTTTTTCTATTTTCAAAGGTAGGCCGATTCAATGGCGAGATTTCCAAAATTTAGAAATTAATTTTTATGAGTGTATGTATAGATAATTATCTATAACACTGTGCAGCATTTTTAGTGCTTTTTAAATTTACCTCGATGGATGCTATATTTTTGGATTCGTTACGAATTCCCAAGTTAAACTGCGTTTTCCAAAAAGTTCCCCGACGCAAGGATTCTTAGCAAAAGGACCTCAAAGTTCGAAAAATGCTGAAATTAGCCAACTTTGCGGAGCTCTCAGAGGCAAATGGATGCATGGTTTGATTCGATGTTAAAGTTTTTTAAAAGATACACCCCTTATCTTTTAAACCCCATACTTAAAAAATTTTTTAGATTTTTTTTAAGGCAGAAACAAATTCTAGAAAACATAGTCAAAAAACATAAAAGTATACAGCAGCGGTCAAAATGGTATTAGTGTTGCCGCCCTGTGTATTTAAAAGTTTGTTGTTGTGATTGATCTTTTCCTGGTAATATTGTATTGATCATAATTTTACTATTAGACTAATTGGATAAGAAAAATTACAACATCAAACTTTTAAAAACACAAGGCGGCAACACTGCTACTATTTTGACCGCAGCTGTATGTTTTTCAGTTTTTTGACTATGTTTTTTGAATTAATTTCTGCCTTAAAAAAAATCCTAAAATTATTTTATGTATGGGGTTTAAAAGATAATGGGTGTATCTTTTAAAAACTTTAACTTCGAACCAAGCCATGCATCCATTTGCCTCTGAGAGCTCCGCAAAGTTGGTCAATTTCAGCATTTTTCGAACTTTGAGGTCCTTTTTGCTAAGAATCCTTGCGTCGGGGAACTCTTTGAAAACGCAGTTTAACTTGGGAATTCGTAACGAATCCAAAAATATAGCATTCATCGAGGTTAATTTTTGATGCTGCATAGTGTAATTATTGAACTTCATCTACAGGCGTACCTCTGACTCGCATGAAAACTAGTTTATGGAGCATAGATTTAGTTTAGCAGGCCTTTTATTCAATAGCAACTCGAAACTCTGTACACACGTTTTTTGATCCTGATTAACTTATTCGTTGGTTTCGATTTTGCAATGGCATCCGTGCGTCCACCGCTATTTTTTGAGGATGAAGAAAAGACGGAGGTAAAAGTAGGGAGAGCCTTTTCCACTCGCTATACGACCACAATGGGGATTGCATTTGGGAGACAAACTACCAAATTCGATATTCCGATCCATGACAAACGAACCCTATTGGATCATATTGTAATACGTCACGAGGACGACAAGCGGTATATAGGAGAATTTGATGACACAGACGATGCACGTTTCTTCACCTACAAGCCGAAGTATGACGACCGGGATGTCTGTCCCAGAGACCCCAGCTTTTCTAAATTCAAAGTTCCCACGTAAGAATTACACTCATAAAAATAATTTTCTACATTTTAGAAAATCGCCCTTAAAAAATTTTCGCCCTTGAACTGAGAAAAATTTTCTATTTTCACGACAAATTTGCCATAAATTTAGAGCAGGTGACCATAAAAAAATATTTTTAGGGTTAATTTTTCTATTTTTCTAATATTTACTGCGATTTTTTTCGATTTGCTTCGTTTTGACCTTTTCTAAATCCAACGGCGAATTGCCCTAATTTTTTTCCTAAAATTTTTCTCAATACAAGGGCGATTCGCCTTAAAAATCACTCCAAAAGTGTGAAATTCGGTAGCCCAGCGGTCTAATCACTTGCGCTTTCAATTTTGCTATATGAGGACTAAGGTCGTGGGGTTGTGGGTTCGAACCCTGTGTGATTCAACTTGATTTTTATGTTTTTTTTTTTTTTGTAAACATAATACTGAGGACATTTTTTCTTCCGAATTTTAAATTAAAGTAGTCTTTAAACCTTAAAAACGTATGGAAGTTCTGAGTTAAAAGCATACTTTGTGTTTGCGGGCAAGAAAACGGGACTAATTGTCACAGTCGTCAGGAAAAAAATATACGGTTTAGTTGCCTTTAGTCATATTATAACGTAGACCTCAAGAAAATAAGATGTGTGCAGAGTTTGTTCGTCGTCTTGCGCGATGGGTCTGTGGTGCAGCGGTAGGACGTTAGACTCTAAACCGAGAGGTCGTGGGTTCGATTCTCGCAACGACCAAAAAAAGTAAGTTGTTTTTTCTCCTCATATTTATTTCCCTAATTCGTTTACAAACATGATTTTTCAGTTCTAACGGCTGTGCTGTATAGATCGGGCCCCCCTCTTAACGCAGCTCCCATATAAGCTACACACCAATACAATAATATGAAACGGTGTCCTCCGCCGGTGTAGTTTAATTAAAGCAGTCCCAATTCCCAGAATATAGACGATTAAAAAAAAAAACATGCTTCCCAAATTCAGTTAAGCATGCTCAAACACGATTTCTTTTAATTTGTCTAATTTTTTAGGGCATTTGCCTTTAAAAACAGAAAATTCGCCCTTAATTTTAGAAAAATACACCTTAAAATTAGGGCAAATCACCCTAAAAACAGGAAAATATTTCTTATTTCAAGAAAAATCACCCTAAATTAAACCAAATTTCCATCGGGATTTTTTAGAAAATTTTTCTAAATACACGGGCGAATCGCCAGCGGATACGATTTATGGGCGATTTTCTAAATCCACGGGCGAAAAGTCAGTTTTTTAGGGCGATCTAGGGTAAAAATTTCTATGAGTGTAGTTATTTAATACTATAGTAAGTGATAATTATGGGAAATACCTTAGGGAAGTTAGCTGCAAGGAACGCTTAAAGAAAGATACCATCAGGTACAATCGTCAGCTAAAGAAGGAAATCTCAAAACTAATCGAATACAAAAACACCGCCTTGGAAGCTGCATATTTTGTTAGGTAATGTTACCGTACTAATAATTCCTTTGGGATAAATAGATTTTTGCAGAGTGATGTCATACACGACCCTATGGCCACCTTATCATAGTAACCAGGAAATAGCCGATACATCCCGTAAATTCTATAAGCTGTCGAAAAGAGAACAGACCCGCTATGACTTTATTATGTCGCATGACTTTTCCTGAAATCCAGGTCATCGTACTTGATTGAATAGTTTTATATTCTACCTATGTATATTTTTGTATTCTATCAAGTACGATGATGTGGAGATATATTTGCGAAACAATACCAATATATTGCTTTCAAAGTCAAAATTATTTATGGCATTAATATGCGTAACCACACCAAAGACAAAATAAACAACAAATTTCGCAGACAAAGATTTGCAACCTGAGACATTTATTGCAATGCAAAATGTCGCAAAGTTCACGCAGACTCCAAAGAAAACTGAATAATTTAGCAATTTTAATTTATAGAATAGTTGGTAGTTTATTTCGCACTGTCAAGAAGCGAGGAGGAGGCCAAAACAGAAACATAAATCGAGCGACAGAAATATTCAGAGTGTTCTTCACTACATTCGATCTGCATAAACAGTTTCCTTTTGCCGGCGACTCATTTACATTGCCAGTATTGGGCACTCCTTTTCGGATGTTATGCAAACTAAGTGGAACTTTTGGACGGTGAGTCGCAGCTCCAGGTTCCCGAATCCGAGTCCGGATCCGCTTTCGGATCTCCCGTGTCCTAGGCTTCATCAACGCAGCCGCACTGTGGTCGGTCTGTCATTTACATTAAATATTAACCCAAAATGCTGATAACCCGCACACATTACAAAACGTGCCGAGAAGAGAAGCGGAACTAACGTAAGTGGCTACGAAAAAATACAAAATGAATTCTTTTTCGGCTGGGTTTATTTTTTGAAAAGCATGGGAGACGGGCGAAGAAACCCCAAATTTTTCACTTCACTGAATTATTCATGAATGCAATTTTTAGCCACAAATAAAATATAAGCAAGCTCAGACGACTGGAGGCGGTGGCATGGGGTGTCGGAGTCTGAGTGGGAGTAGCAGGGGGCGTGGCACTGGGGCGCGGAACTGCAGCTGCGCCCTGTTGTGCTCCTGTCGACTCAGACGTCGTTGCAATATTTAGTGTAAATTAAAAAATATATAATAAAAGAATAAGCAGTTGCGGCTGAAATTTCGGGTGAGTTATGATTCCTGTTGTCACGAATATTCCGAAGCTCTGTTGTGTTTAATTTTGCGGAAAACTATAATTTTTTTTCATTTTTAAAAATGAATTATACACTAGGCCGTATTAAAGGAAATCTGTATGTAGGGGAGAGTGGGGGAATTTCGTCAGCATTTTTTCAAAGCTATTTTTTGTCCATCTTGAGACACGTTATCATATTTCTATTTTTATTGTTGAATGCGGTTAGCACCAAGCTTTAAAATGTGACATTCCCCTATTTTTTTAATTAGCTTGGTGATTTATAAAAAAATAAAATGTAAAACCAATATACTGGGGCAATCTCACCACACAGGGGGGTAAAATCACCACACAACTGGGGAAATTTCGTCACCTGAAAAATGTAGGGAGTTTAACGCCTGAAAATATGCTACACTGATCAAGTGTACCATTTTTGTTGACGTCCTATATTTGTTGCTGCTGCTGGTAGTCTGTTCGTTAGCCAGCTCGTCAAATATAAAAATATGTATTTAAAATAGGTGCGAATTTACCCTCAGCGTAGGGTGGCGAAATTTCCCCAGACCGTACTTTTTTAGAAATAATTATTTGTCTTGCGAAATTAGGCGCGAAGTTAAAAATCACTGACGCAGAAATGCACATTATAGCACTGTGTATTATATAAAAAATCGTGTATCTTATTCCTTTTGAATTGTGGCATACAGAAAAAATTTGGTCGAGAACTAAATGTAGCTTTTGAACTGTTAAAACACATTTAATATTATAGCTTAATTATCTTGGACTTCTGTGCAAAACAAATGCATTGGTTGTGTCTGGCCGTCTTGAAGGACTAAAACAAAAAAATTATATATTTTTACGACTTAAGGATTCCGAGATATTGCAGGTGACGAAATTGCCCCTGTGACGAAATTCCCCCACTCTCCCCTACAGAAATTAGTGCTTTACTCTACTTATATCATAATCGCTTCTTATATATTTTAAAATTTCTATATAATACTCTTAACATTTACTTTTCGCTTGTTTTTCATTTCGTTTTTAAAAATATATATCAATTGCATGATCTAAAGTATTTTTCCATCGAAACTTTAGTTCGGAAACTTTCGCATCGAGCACTTAGATGGGACTTGCCAAACTTTTCGATTTTGCGGCAACTTAAAAATTTGAATTTCAAATCGCTCTGCCCAATGAAACCAACTTGTACTCCCTGGAACAAGCTGACAAATGACTCTACTGCAGGAAATGCACCATGAATGACTTTTCGGAGGCGAAACTTTTGCAGGTGTTAAATACATCTGCATTGGCAGCTCCGCAAAAACAGAGAAATCATGCACAGCATAAGTACGTTAAGTTCTGTGGCATCAAACAACCGAGAAGAGCCATTAAAATAATCGCTGCAATAACCGCATTTGGTGCGATTTGGTTGCTTTTGTCTTTCACCTTTCGGGAAGGAGGCAAAATGGGGAAATTTGCATGCATAAGTTATGCGAAGTTTGGCTGTGGGACGAGCAGCAAACGTAACATATTGACACAGTAAACTGCTTAGATTGTCAAAGTTCGAGGGGAGCTTTGGGCCCCCTTATTCCGCCTCCTCCCCCCTTTCCCACCATTTTCCGCATTTAAGGTGCATTCAAGTTTTTGAGAGTGCGCGCAAACAGTTGGCCAAATCCTAAAGGGATTGCGTTGCATATTTCTGTTCCTGGCCCGGCTGTTTCCGCGTGTATTTGTGTGCCAAGCATATGTATTGAAGTCCTGGCCAAGTCGGCAGCACATGTGAGAGAGTGGGTTCCGAGGAGCTGTATCGCTGGCAAGAAAGTCCTTTCAGTTCCTCCACTTTTGTATGATTTTGCTCTCAGGTTTGTTTTTACTTTCATGCCACACCAAACGGGAGATGGATACTTTGAGAAGAGTCGGAGAGTGTGGCACAGTTTCTCTTGTTAAGGCGACATTTTTCCCACTGAGTTGAGGTTGTTCGTTTTTGACATCCACCAGAGAGGAGCGGCGCATGCGCAGAAATGAGTGAGAGAAAGTCTTGGCGAGGCTTTTGGTAAATATTGGGATTTTCCCTAGTGGGATGTGGTATAGCTTCTCGGATTTAAAAAGGAGAAATAGTGGTTATTGCAGTCCAGGATGTATTTTGTTAGAAACAAAATTCTGCATTGACACATTTATTCAAATAATGTTTAATTTAAGTTAATTTAAAAACTTGAAAATTTAGAACACATCATGAAAAGAAGAAAAACAAGAGAGAACGCTATAATCGGGTTTGTGTCCCGACTACTTAATACCCGTCACTCGGCAAAAGGGAGTGCGAGGGAGATAGATATATAACATTTTTTGATTGCGTATAACTTTTTAATGGATGGTCCGATTAGAAAAATATCTTCTACATTTCGATAGGTATAAATATACACAATAAAATTGCATTTACACTTCTCGTAGGAAGTCTCAACCTTCTAGTTTCCGAGATCTCAGCGTTCGTACGGACAGACGGACATGGTTATATTAACTCGGCTAGTGACCCTGATCACGAATATATAAACTGTATAGTGGGGGAAACGCTTCCTTCTCCCTATTACATTTTTTTGCACGAATACAATATACCCTTTTACTCTACGAGTAACGGATATAAAAATGATTAACCTGTTGATGAACTTAAGCCACCCGAAAACATCACAAAAAATTTACAGATCAATAAAACAGACTCTTTTAAGGACCTTACGATAACTAAAACTTTTTATAAGCAAGCTAGAAACTTAAACATTATTTTATCAAATAAAAACACCTCTTAACGAGGTAAAAAACTAGTGACGACCGCACCTTCAACATACAAAAGTTCTGATATCAACATTTGTGACGAAAAATTATTACACTCGTCATTAAATAGACTTTCTAATCTTTTCTCATTCGGCCCGCCCTAGCAAACTATTCCAGCCTTTTTCCCTTTACAGGCATTTTCTATTGCAGCGTGACGAATAAGAAAAGATTAGAAAGTCTATTTAATGACGAGTGTAATAATTTTTCGTCACAAATGTTGATATCAGAACTTTTGTATGTTGAAGGTGCGGTCGTCACTAGTTTTTTACCTCGTTAAGAGGTGTTTTTATTTGATATCAGAAGTTTTTGTTTGTTTACATTTGCTCTCATAGGAGCTAATATATACATTTAAATTTAAATTGGTCAATCATAATTTTTAAACTATTGTATTTTAACAAATTAAGTTAAAAAGGCGTTGAAGTATTTCAAAATACCTTTTAAACGAGGTATAGCACATGTCTGTACCTTTAGTAGTATAGAACTTACAAACTAACGAAATTTAGCTATTTTTAGCTTTTTCCCGCTAAAGTAGCGGCTTTTTCCAAAAGTCGTAGAACAAAAGATTCCTATATGGAACTCTTAAGTGCAAATTTACAGATTCCATGACCCTAAAATACAGTTCGGATACCCTCCCACAAAATTCAATACTCAGGGAGCGTTAATTGTTCGAGCTGGCAAAAGTGGCTATTTTCGTATAAAAATAACTTTTAAACGTGACTTTTTACAGTAATGTGTTATATACCAAAATTTAAGGAATCTCAAGGGCTATACAGTTTAAAGTTTTCAAGAAAATCGTTAGAGCCGTTTTTGAGAAAAATAAAAAAAAGCTAAAAAAAAGTTTAAAAAAATTGTCTTTTGTTCATATCTTTTTAATTATTACATTTACACAAATTGCATATAGAAGGCGTTTATAGCATTTAAAAATACCTTTCAAACAAGATGCAGCACAAGTCTGTAGCTTTAGTAGTATAGAAGTTACGGTTTTCCGAATTTTAGCTATTTATAGCTGTTTTCCCGCTAAACTAGCGAGTTTTTCCAAAAGTGGTAGAACAAAAGTTTTTTATATCGATGGGATGAACGTCATATTAAATTTTCAAAACTTAAAAAAAATGTTTTGGACAAACTGACAAACTGACAAACTGACAAACTGACAAACTGACAAACTGACAAACAGAATTAAATTTTCATTTTGGGAAGAAGAAGGAAATCTTATTTTGGCTATAACTTTTGAACGGAGCGTCGGATTTTGACAAATGACCCCTCATTCGACGGGTATTTTCAAAAGGAATACAACTAAAATATTGCGAGGGGGCATTTATCCCCACCGGCCCCAACAGCTCCAAATTTCGAAAT